GAAGGCCCGAAACTACATGCAAACGCCAGCATGTGAAAGGAAAGTAGTCGTCCGGTTTGTACTTGTTTTTCATAACGATTTTGGATATCGACATTGTCTTCAGCTGAGCGCTCTTTTCGAACAGGAAGTTTAGTCCTAACGTGATTTGCATTTATCAAACATTTTCTGTGTTCTTACGTAACAAAAGTACCATTTCTGACCAAAAAATCTATCCTGAGCTACACGTTCGTTAGATTACTTTTTTGAGTTTCACCTCGTTTAATAGCTAACTGTGGTTTTGCCTCAGCTTATAATTCGGTTTTTTATTTGTCCGTTTTCACTGTGCTTTTTAGTGTATTTTTTACGGTTTTAGGCTTTTGCTAGCATCTACAACGCAGCTTACGTCAATACAGTCATGAAAAATTCATGCAAACGACCTGGATGCCGTTTTGCTGCTACATCTGGCATGCAGAGCGACAACTGCAAAGGTTGGTTCCACGAAGCGTGCACAGACCTCACAGCAACTGCTTACAACAGACTCATCAAGTCGGATCATAAATGGGAATGTGTTACGTGCAGCACGGATGCTGTAGTCTTGCTGAGTAATATCATTGTCCTACTGACAGACCTGCAGAGCAAGTTGTCGGCAAACTTAAGAAAAGACAGTTAAAAAATGGATAGAGAAACAAGAGAGCGCATTGAAAACGAGAACAGAGATGTCGACAGGTCTATCAACGACGGAGCATGCAACAGCATTAATGATGACACGCTGAAACTCAGCACCATGATTACGACGACGGTACTCGGCTCCCTCAGCAAACTCGGGTCTCACAGCTCAAGGACCTTGAATGCGACAGTGGTTCCCAAAACCTCTGTAGGTGATTGAATCCATGTCAAAAGAGCTAAAAAATGGCCAGGCGTCACAGTTTAGGTTGAACATCCCAGCTGTTGAACGGAAGTCAATCGGTGATCTGGTCACACAGTCTGCCCTCAAGATTGTCCGTCCGGTCATCAAAGAGCCAAGGGTTCATAAACGTGCTCCGACCCCCAAACAAAGAGGTGCTAAAACTGAACGCACCGGAAAACCTGGGACGACAATAACGGTTCGTGATGAGTCTCTCATGGTCATGAACTTCAAAGGCAACCCTGACCTTCCTCTCAGTTTGTAGGACAAAAATGATAAGATGTTCTGGGGAGAATTGAACAAGAAACTTGAACTTCCAAGAATAGAGCCTTTGACAGTCACATGGCTCACTCGGGGAAAGGAATCTAAGCATCAAAATCACACGAGGCTACTTCGTGTAACACTTAAGAATGATACCGACGTAGAGGATGTCTTACTGGCGAGCCACTCACTGAAATCAGATGGTAATGTAAGAAAACTGCCTGACATGCCGTATTCTGAGAGCAATCTCATCCGGAACATCCCCAAAGAAACTCGCGATCAGTTTTTCTGCGGGAGGAATATAATCGTGCAAGGTATACCGGAAAATGCGGACCCTACTCAATCAAAGACTGACATTAGGGGATGGAAATTCATCAAACAGTTTTTGAGGCTCAAAAGCATACTGACTCAGTATGTGATGAGACTAGCCAAGAAGTATGGTGATTCTAGACCTCGTCTAATGAAGATAACCTTCCCATCTTCCCATATGGCGGCTGCAACTCTGGAAGCATTTCGTGCCAACAGACGTCGACTACCACCTGGAATCCACATGCACACGGATAGGCCATACAAAGCTAGGACCAAACACAAAGGCAAGTTGGAGCTGACCATCCCACTTGTTGACTGTCTAGACGATAAAAAAACGTGTAAAGGACAGGGCCTACCACCTCGGCAAACCTCATATAGATGGGCTACTTGTCCATTCACGTAAGGCTCATACAGACAAACAGGAAGAAGCTCATGCGTTTCAAATTGAAAGCATGAACTGCTTATATATGAACCCCGCGAGTCTGCCAAACAAACTAGATGAACTGCGTGAACTTAGCAATGCTAACAAGGCCCATCTGATAGGAATATTTGAAACCTGGATATCTTCTCAGTTCTCGGACCATGAGCTAGCATTACCTGGGATGTCTTTATTCCGCAATGACAGGAAATCAGGGTATGGGGGCGGAGTAGCTGTTTACATACGTTCTTGCTTGGAGGTGCATCAAGTTCACAACCTCGAGTTTAACAATCCTGAGGAATCTATATGGTGCTCTGTAAGATTGTCAAGCACTTCGAGGTGTCTAGTCGGAGTCATTTACAGGAAACCAACTGCCGACATCGAGTACGGTAGTCGTATGCTGGAAGAACTATTCCACTCTACTCGTCTCGATTTCACACACATTCTGATTCTAGGGGACTTTAATCTCCCTAGAGTCAACTTCACGGAACACACGTATACTGGAGGCGACATTTCAACCGAAGCTCGGTTCTTCAACCTCATCAATGACTGGGGATTGTACAAAAATGTGAGGTCGGCAACTCGTTGGAGAAAGTCAGACACCATCGCGCTTAGGCTGTGTATTCAAAAACGAAGAATTCCTAGTTGACAACCTCTCAATCCTGGCTCCTCTGGGAAAAAGCGATCATGCTGTGATAGCCTTCAGTTTTGTCATCAAAACTAAGCTAAAGTATCCCAAAAATAATTTGCGTTGGAATTTTAAACGGCTGAATGTGCCAGCTCTACATGACTATCTGCAACAGGTGGTTTGGGATGTTCACCCCCAACTCGATGTGGACGGTCATTGGGACTTCTTACTGCACACGCTCTTATGTGCTACAAACCATTCAGTTCCTCAAACGGCTCCCAAAAGCTGCAAGCCACCTACAGTAATCAAAAACCGTACCCTTCGCCTACTAAGCCGCAAAAGGCACTGTTGGGCGGAATACAAACGAACTGACAACGACGGAGTGTAAAGGCAATATAAACATATCAGGAACATATGCACAAAGGCTATAAGAGAAGATAGGCTTCAGTACCAGACAAAGCTTATGGACAAATTTGTCTCTAATCTGAAAAGCTTATTCCGTTATGCAGCCTCTCTTCGTCAAACCAAAACAAGAGTTTCCCAACTGGTAGGTCTTAACGGCTCGAGCAACAACGGTGGCGACGCCGCTAACCTTCTGGCGGCACATTACTCCCAAACATTTCAACCGGCTGACATCAACTTTATTGACGACAGTTTCATCTGCAATTCCACAGGACTTTCTGAAGTGGACCTAAGCGCTGACTTTGTGTCCCGGAAATTGCAGCACTTAGGACTTGACACTTCTCTTGGCCCGGATATGGTTCATCCTGCCATACTGAGGGAAGTAGCCTCAATCTTGGCAACGCCGCCTAGCGTGACGTTCTCACACTCGCTAAGTCGAGGAAAACTACGGGAAAATTGGAGGCTGGCTCACATGACACCAATTTTGAAAGGAGGTCGACGCAGCGAAACTTCAAGTTACCGACCGCTGGCTCTTCTCTCAATACCTTCAAAACTCATGGAGTCCCTGATATGCGACGGATTAAACGACTATTTACTGTCCTTAAATTTCTTCTCACCCCAACAGCATGGTTTCAGGAAGGGTTACTCTTGTATAACCAACCTGCTGACTGCGGTGGACAGATGGACAAGCATCCTCGATTGCAAGGGGAAGGTTGATATCATCTACCTAGATTTCTCAAAAACTTTTGATAAGGTTAACCATACATGTCTTATCGATAAGCTCAAACGATTGGGTATCCGACCACCTCTAATCGATTGGCTCACTTCATACCTGAAAAATCGACATTTTACGGTCAGGGGTTAATTTCACTTTATCTCAGGTTACGGAATGTCCTAGTGGGGTCCCCCAGGGCTCAGCACTAGGACCTCTTCTCTTCTTGATCTATATAAATGATCTTCCTCAACAGGTAACGTCAGACTTATTACTTTTTGCCGACGACGTGAAACTTTGGAGAGAGATACGCAACCAAGACGATATACAGGCACTTCAGGAGGATCTGACTCGACTTCAAAGTTGGGCAGACGATAACGGACTTACCTTTAACACTACAAAGTGTAAAGTAGTCCATCTGCGACATGTCGCAGACTACAGTTATAACTTAGGTACCTCCTCTCTAGTAGCATCCCAAGTCGAAAAGGATTTAGGAGTCCTGGTGCCCTACGATTTAAAGTCTTACTCTAACTGTGACAAAAATGCCTTCCGAGCAAACCTTGCACTGGTAACATTGAAGCACATTTTTGGCTAGTTTGACGGAAGAACTTTCCATATAATCTTCAATAGTTTTATCCGTCCCTATTTAGAGTACGGAAACATAGTATTTCCCCCCTCACCCCAAAAGGATAAGGACACCCTGGAGTGTATCCAACGGCGAGCCACGAAATCAGTTCTAGGACTCAAATTTAAACCTTACGAATAGCGCCTTCATTCACTGAACCTTCACCCATTAAAGTATAGACGTATTAGAGGTGAACCGATGGCTTATAGTATCCTTAACACTTCTGGACATCCTCTCAAACACCTACTTAAGCTTAGTTTCAACACTAACCTAAGAGGTTGATGATGTCACAGGTATTCAGTGTTTGACAACGCTTTTACCAGTAACACCTTCTAATATATTTCGTTTTCACCCAGAGAAATCAAAAGACAGAGTCGAGGAGATCGGAGGAGTATATTTGGCGATGACCAATATATCGGAATTCTCTGATCTAACCTGGCTAGCGATTGCGGTTGATGTTGAGCACGGCGTTACCACACGTGATCTGGTGCGGATGCATGACCGAGCGCCTTCAGCTAGATGAGTCCACTAAAACATGTGGTCAGCATCCAATTTCGAAAACTTAGAGCTATTTATTTTGGGGGTTTATTTACCGCTACAAGGTAACACCCAAAAACTGGAGACACAACATAGCAGAACGGACTGTAAACACAACTTCTACTCCTTAAGAGTTGTCAAATGCTAGAATTCGCTGCCAGCCGAGCTAGTCCAAGGGACTTCGCAGGAGTCCTTTAAGAGGCAACTTGATCTGTTCTTAAGGACTAAGGATAGTATCGCACCATGATTTATTAATATCTTTTCCTGTTTTATTGTTAACATACCTAGGTTCCTGCCTGGAGGATTTGGTGATCCCCTGCTACTAGACACGGAAGCCTGTTAAGCGAAAGCTTCTTCTATTCCGTCCACAACCATTTGAACCATTTGAACCATTTCTAAGGAGCGGATGTAAACGCTTGCGTCTCTCAAGGTTGCATTTGATCTCGTGTTGTGGGTTTGCTTGTAGATTGAGTATTCTTAATTACGTCAAAGTATATAAAAGCATGAATTCAACACACCTGCTGTTAAATCACTGCTGAACGATTTGACGCAAATAAACGAGTGTTGTCAGTCGGTTTAAATCCATTTGTTAAGACTTCTATAATTTTTCACCTAATACGAGCAAGGTTGCGGATTTTTTGATCATTTAAGATAACGCAGCATGAAAAATAACATAACCAGCCTCTATTTTTTGTCGTCAAGGCCAGTATTACGGGGTTTCGGCCAATGTTATTCAACATCTTTGTGGGCGCTAATTTATGCCGAATGATTATTGAATCTGGAATTAGTGTTGGTGTTTATTATTCTAGGTCTTCAATGAGATATGTTTACCTAAAAGTAACACCGTATCACGTAAAAAAGTGTTTTGCATGGGTATTAGTATTCATTTTTGTTAGCCGTAGTATTTATTGTACAATACGATGAGATTTAAGCGGTGCTATTGATTCTGAAAAATCTCACACACTAGGGTCTACAGAGGGTCATAAATTAGTGTCAAGAATTAGAATCAGAAGCAAAAACTAGATGCTAGGGTTTTCATTACAAACTGACAACAGCTGGAATACCGAAATGCTATTTACCCATACGGATAGATAAATTTTTCTCCTAAACCCGAAATTTGCCGTCCTACATCATATGCTAATTCCGTAAATTATAGTTTTATTCGCAGTTATATACTCTAGTGGTTATTAACATATCCTTGCCAATTAATTAATTGGATATGGACTCAATTTTCCCCAAAGTTGGGAACATTGTAATGTTCCCAAACCTTCTAACGCCTACAATAACAGCTCAGACTGCAGTTCTACATGCTTAAAATGTCCCAGTCGCCTCAATTAACGAATGTCCACCAGCTGAGGAATTAATTTATTTATTTACTCACTTGATCATCTCACTATACACCATCACTGCTTCTAGACGTCGATAAACCAATATTCAAATTTCATGCATACTTTCTGCATTCAGACATATTCCACATCACTAAAGTAAGGAAACGAAAGGTTGTTCACTATACTCTTTTACTGCAACTAACGGTTTCAGTCATGACAGTTTTGATATTAAATTAAAATAAGTATCAACAATTTTGTTGTCTTTTTTTGGTTGTTTGCAGTTTATTTAATCTTCACATGAAGTTGACAGATACATGCAGCAAACTTTATAAACGCTCTACAACTCATTTTCCGGACCTTCAATACTATAAGTATGATTATCGCAGGACTCCAGTTCTTAAAGATTCAGTGATTGGAAAAGGTGATAGGACAAAAAGTAAATCATTGTTGCAATGTCTATAACCGTCGTGCCTTTTTATTTAAGGAGCTGTCTGTATCGAAGAAATGTTATCAATGTTAGCTTGCTTGAAAGAAAGTGATTTTGATCAACGTCCTTGTACACAAATGATAGACACATTCAATAAATGCGTCCATATAACGGAGGTTTGTTTCAACCATACCGGATTTAATTTATCGGTTTTTTATTTAGAATAAGCGGAGAGCAAATAGGGATATGCAAGAGTCAGGAGTCGTATCGCCTTCTGACAAGTCAGGTAGATCATTTGATCGACTATCATCAAAACAAATTACTGAACTACTAAGACGCTTTCCTGAACCTTAGTAATATTTCGGCTCACCGTTTGTACATTTGTAGTAAACATTCATAGCACTGATTAATATATTTTCTTTTTTTTGTGTAAAAATATAACCATTTAAATTTAATTTTTACTTGTAAATTTATGTTCACTCGTCACCAGGTTTTGAAATGTTGATATAACATAAGTGGTATCCGAAGTCTTTAATTGGAAGATTTTGTGTTTCTCATTAAAAGGTTGTGCCTCAAAGGTATACAAGCCTTGTATAGGCTCATTGTTTGGACATTACGGATTTAATCAGGAATGGTGGTAAATAGTCATCAGAGTTATCAATCTCAAGTGGTATTAGTCAGGTTTACTTATTATCCCCGTTTTTGAATTAAATCGTCACGAATGTCCTAGATATTATGCTTTCTTTACTTAGCCTTTTAGGGATCAGTCTTCGTCTTGGAGATTCACTCGTCTACTTGGAGTACTTAGATGACATTGTCCTGTTTAAATACGTTGACGAAATTCGGTCTTCTAAACGTCTTGAAAAACCTTACAAGAAATTTAAATTGCGTTTCTCTCCCTTTAAATACAAAATATTTTCTCAGGACTGATCTGCACTAACGCCTAGAATCATCATATAAAATGAAATATTTGATTGCTATGAGCATTTCCCATACCTTGGGAGTCTGTAGCACTGATGGCATGGTGTCTGAAAAAGTCTTGGTGCGGGTTTAGAACGTTCCTTTGGCTTTTACAAACATGCCCCACTTGCGTAGATGAAACTCCCATCTACCAATCAAAGGACGAGTATACTATACGGCAATTCGCTCTGTTTCGCTTCATGGATTTAAAACGGCATTGGAATGTAAAGAACGTTCACAAGTTACAAATATTTAATCGTATGTGTATTCAAGACATTGTTCATGTATCATGGAGCCACCAATTGAGCAGTACTGAGGTTAAGCGTAGGATATTAGGTAAAGACAGCTTACCGGTTGATGAAACTGTGAACCTTCATTCACTCATGAAACTAACATATATTACATATCTCTAGTCTCATTGGCTGTTGGTCATTTTTTTATCATCATTTTTATTTTAACACAGATATTCGTACAAAGAGGCACCAAATACATATGCGCCACACAAATCTCATTTGATATGTGTGAGGGCTGTGATACTGCTCGGGTGCCAAAACCGAAGCAGGTGGTTTTCTTAGGGGGCCACACCCGGAGCCTTCGACCTGAAGGTCTCATCCACAAGGCAGTGGAACATCGTAAGGAGATACATTCCCGTGGAAGCCGGTGACCAACGATTGGTTCATACGCCATTTGTTCCTTCAGGATACTGGAGCCAGCCCATGTGCACCATTGGTTTGGAATGAGGGTTTTCCAACTCCCCTAGGTGGACTCACCGTGTCCACCAACCTGGTTAAAGCGCCGGACATTCGCTTTTCGTCCTCTCACTTTCGTAAACAACACCCCCGTCACGAGAAAACAGTGAGTAGGACTTCCCTGGCAGAGGCTATATACGCGTGGCCACGTGAGGGCATTTCGAGAGGGAGAGTGGACTTTCATCACTCTCGGCCTTACCAGGGCATTTGGGGGTGGCTGTTGGTCATAATAAATTTCAACTTTCAATCGGTAATGATTGTTTTATTATTTTTAACCCTCATGAAAAGTATGATTCAGTAGTGACACACGTTTGGAATCTGTAATTTTTGTTATGAATAAAGATAATTAAGAAACAGTTTTGTGAGACTGTAATTTATGAACGACCTTTGGGTGACGCTAGGGTGACCTTTAGAACGTTCAGCCACTTACTAGGGCTAAATGAGGGTCATAAAGCAGTGTGAAGAACAAGGATTGTGATTTACGATTGATGGCTATTAATCAGACTTAGGGTTTTCATTAAGAACTGACACCAGCTAAAATGCCAAAACTCTATTTAGACAAATGTGTGAATGAATTTTGCGCTGAAATCCGAGACCTTTCATCCAGAATCTGATTGGTTCGTCCATGAATTATGGTCTCGCCAACAGTTTAATCAGCTTTTGCCTACATTTTTCTGTCCATCTACACTTAGTTGTTATGAAGAAAACCTTTTGATGATTGATGAGCGAACTCTCAACTGTCAGAATCACTATATAGAATGCTTATCGTAGATGAATGCAATGATATGGTGTGGGCGAGAGAAATCTGTTCACTAGAATGTGTTATTGGCTTAAAGCCACGAATGTTTAAAAATCAAAGACAATATTCACATCAATGTTTTTTCTGTATTAAAATAACATGTTTATATACAGAATATAAACGCAAAATAAGCATGATAAAACGTCATAGGCGATCGAAGGGAATTGGCTAGTAGGTCACTCATTCTCCAGTCAATTGAGACCTGACTGTTAGGCCTAGTCTTTGAGCATCGTATCATTAGTAAGCACTAAAGATACCTAAGCACTTTAGGGGTTAGGCTAGGTTTTTTGACGGAATGTAAAAGTCATTTAACTGATTTCAATGATCATTTGTCATATTTTACTACGTTGAAATAGTTTCGTAGTTCTTCGTCAACATGTACTTCGTATTTTTTAGATGTTTAGCTACTACTCACATGCAACAGATTAAAATATATTAGATATGTTCACGGATCAATAGTAGACTATTATTGGAGATTAGAATAACTTTTATGCTCTATCGATATGAAATAGGTAATAAGCTGTTTCAATTAAGTTATCTTTCCAGCGGTTTTGTTTTATGGCAAAAGCGTTATTGATAATGTCACATTCAACTTTCTAGACAGTTTAATGAGGACCAAGGGGTTCGTTATTAATTTAGTTAGAAACCGTTAACCATAAATTCGGAGTTGGAAATGTGATTTATATCGATAATTATGTTTTGTTGTACGCTGTCCGATTCTGATACGAGTACTCAAGCATCCTATGCGCAACCTCAAACTAGCTACTTGAGTGAGAAGTGAGTTGTATTGATTTAATCGAATCAAGATATATCTGTACATCCATCCATATATATCTATATACATTTATCCTTTAGAAGATCGAGTCATATTTCCAACCAATTCTGTGTGTCTTATTCCATAGAAAAGGAAGGTAAATCTCGGTCATTGACGTGCATTTGTCGTTTGATCGATGTTTGACTAAATCGAGGTATCAAACTATGGATACAGTTAGTTGTAATTATTAGTTTTCCTAGTGTTGTTAAATCGTTTATTTCCTAGAAGTGTCTTAATCCATATTATTTAGTATAGCACGTAATCTTTAGACAAACGTTTCACTTTATTGATTTTAGTAATTGTATCAGTTGGTAAGCAACCCTTTCCTACTTGAGTTTTATGTCTTTTGACACTCTTCAGGGTGTATCTTCACTTTTAGGGGAGCTGATGCTCTCATCGGGACTTGAACCTGTGTCACTCAGCTTTACAGTCTGAGATGTTACCAATAAGCGGTTTTGGGGATGACTGATGGCTTTTAGGGTTGAGTAGCGACTAATGTTTGTCTAGTTCTTTGTGCTGATCAAATACTATCTATTCAGTTGTAATCTAGCCACTTGTTTAAATTGCTTGACAAATTGTTTCTGATCATTTACTTATTCCTTTCAGCCTATGTGATCTGCATTTATTACTGATGTTATTCCCACATTATCATTGTACAAGCGGTTCCAAGTATAGGTTTCACGCTGGTCATTTCCAGATCTACGAAAGACCCTAAGTTTGTTATCTCAATCTATCAAAATGGATTCTCGTTAAAATCAATTGCTTCCTCTGATTTTTAATCCGCACAGAGAATTGTAGAACCCAATGACAACTTACTCATGTCTTGGAAACAAATTTCTATAATAAAATATCGTACTTTTAACAATTTAAGTAGTTTGATAAGGTCGTCTGAATTTAATCGGTGAGCTATCAGATGATTTCGGAAGCAATCAATAGGTTGAATTTCTCGTAGGCTAAAATCTTAAATATTATGTAGTATATTGTTGATTAAAAACCAGTTATCAACATCCTAATAGTTTCGCTTCCTGTGTCCAAATTCTATTTTTTTTTATTCTTTAGACGCTTGAGTACTAAGATAATGCTTACTTTGAAATAATAAAACCGTCTAGATTTTTATGTTCATTGAACGATTTAAATTCACTTTTTATATACTATTTAGGCTGTTTGTGATTTTTTTCAAACACAGTTTTGATTTCTATAAATCAATATATAAAGGTCTAGTGGTAATACTTAGTTTCCTAAACCATGGTGGATGGAGGGTGTTTAAACCTGTTAATGATTGGTTATAAGTGGGGCTCCATAGCCACTGAGCTACATTTCCAGTTAAAGTTAATTAGTTTAGTGCAAATAACTTGTTTAATAATTATGGGTTTATATCCTCGGCTTTAAGCTATCATTATTTTCATCATGAATAGTAGCGATACTACTTGTCTATCTAAATCGAAGTAAATAAAGCGGAGTTTGATCAGGCGATTCCCTAGTGGTTGAAATCCTGATACCTGTAATCTCAAGGTCGTTGGACCACTAAAGATACACGATTATTTATCCTTCACTCCTATTTAAGAAATAGTATTTCTATTAAATATGTTACTATACAATAACATTACTTCTGTATTAATGTGTACTGGTTTTTCAGTTTGAATTATCAATTCGATAAGTTTCTTAATTTTTACGACAGTTTCAGTATTGAAAAGAGCAAGAACAAACATTCTAGCAGAATAGCATGGATTCATTTTTTGATTTCGTTGGTTCTCGTCAGCTGCTTACAACCTGAGATATTTAAAAATCATAATTACATAATGGGTTTAAATTACTTACATGAAAGAGTTTGATTGGAAGTTATATTGAAGACATATTCGTATAGTATAGCAAGAGTGTAAATAAATTGAATAGACTGAATATTGTAAATATATACCTTATGTGATGAAAGAACATTGTGACAACAGTTCAAACGGCTAGGAACAAGTAAACATTGATATAGGAATAAAATGAGTAGAGTTCACTTGATAAAATAAGATTAATAATTTGGAAGATAGTTGGAATAAAGCTCAATGATGTAATAAATGCAAGAAAGAGTCTAAAGAAAAAGAAAAAATATATATATTAAGATACAGCGAAGGAATATTAGTCA